AGGGTTAGGGGTCAGGGTTAGGGGTCGGGTTTAGGGATCTGTGGGACATCCAGAGCCCCTCAGGAACTCCGTTCCCCTGCTTTCCCCCTCGCTGAGTCCCCGTCCTCTCCCCGCAGGAAGAACTCGGACGACGCCGACCTGGGTTAGGGTTAGGGGTTAAGGTCAGGGTTCAGGGTTAGGGTCAGGGTTTAGGGTCAGGGTTCGGGGTTAGGGTCAGGGTTTAGGGTCGGGGTTAGGGGTCTGTGGGACATCCAGAGCCCCTCAGGAACTCTGTTTCCCTGCTTTCCCCCTCGCTGAGTCCCCGTCCTCTCCCCGCAGGAAGAACTCGGACGACGCCGACCTGGGTTAGGGTTAGGGGTTAAGGTCAGGGTTCAGGGTTAGGGTCAGGGTTTAGGGTCAGGGTTCAGGGTTAGGGTCAGGGTTTAGGGTCGGGGTTAGGGGTCTGTGGGACATCCAGAGCCCCTCAGGAACTCCGTTCCCCTGCTTTCCCCCTCGCTGAGTCCCCGTCCTCTCCCCGCAGGAAGAACTCGGACGAGGCCGACCTGGTGCCCGCCAAGGAAGCCAACATCAAGTGCCCGCAGGTGGTGATCTCGTTCTACGAGGAGAGGTTGACATGGCACTCCTACCCCTCAGAGGACGATGACAAGAAAGAGGACAAGAACTAAGCCCTGGTGGCCCCCGCTCCGGGCAGCTTTGGGGTTTTTTTTGGGAAGACGATCCGAACTTTTGTGGGGTGTGAGCAAAGGAGGGGTTTGGAGGTGCCCTTGGAAGAGCCCCCCCAGCCCAGTTTCTGTGCCCTGCAGCCACTCCTCTGCTCCCTGCCGTGTCCAGATTCCGAGCAGGATCCCATGGAATTCCAGATTCCACCGGGGAGGGGGGGAGGGAGAATCAAGGGGGATTTGGAAAGCTTGGGACGGGGTGGGAATTCGGGGTGGGGAGGGGTCTCAAAGCAATGGGAGCGGAAGCAAAGCCCCTTCCATGAAGGACTCTCCGGGATGGCCGGGCTGGGGATTGGGACTGGGACTGGGATTGGGATTGGGAATGCAGATGGATCCTGCTTCCCCTCCAAAGCCCATCCCACAGCCCCCAGCCTGGTTCCCAATAGTGTTAACTCTGCATTTTTAAGGCGTAGCATGTGTGTAGGTCTTTTGATTCGGATTTCTATTTTCCTTTTATCTTCCTTTTTTGTTTCTTTTCTCCTTAATTTTCTTTTTTTTTTTTTTTCTTGGCTATTTCCTGGTGTTATCCTTTGGGAAGGAAGGGAGGGATTTTGGGGGGAATTCAATCACTTTTAATCAAGGAAGGAAATAATGTCTGGTGATGACATTCCCAGATTCTTTCCATATTTTTGGGGTTGCTTTTTTTAAAAAAAAGAACCTGAATTCCGTTTTTTTTCTTAAAAAAAAACTGAATTCAGCAAAGAAAATCAATGGATAAAAAAAATTAAGGGAGAAAGGGAGAAGTTCCCAGAATTGCTGCCAGAACTGGGACAGAGACACTGAAACTGTGAATGTCCAAAATCTCCAGAGCTAATCCTCGAGCGATTTTTAGGGGCAATTTTTGGGGAAAAGGGGGAGGGAATTTTTGGGGTGGGAGGGGACGAAGGGGAGACTTTGTGAAAATGCAACTTTGTGATTCTGTATCGTCCTGCAGCAGAACTGCCACTCCTGACACGTGCATTGTATGGGGGGGTGAATTTTAACCCTTTTATTGCCTTTTTAACCCTTTTTTTTTTTCCGTTCTAAGGTGCTATTTCTCCAAATTGGGGGGAGGGGGGGGAAAATCCCCAAAAAAAAGAGATTTCCTGAATTTCTGACCACTCATTCTTTTTCCCACTCTGGATTTTCCTGCCCAGCCAGCAGGAAGGGAATGTGGGAAGGAGAGGAACCAAGAGCAGCACAAGGAAAAATCCAGTCAATCCCAATTTCCCCCACAGCGAGGCTGGGAGCTGCTTTCCCAGCACCTCGTGGGGGTGGTTTTTGATTTTTGAATTCAGATTTACTTCCCGAATCCTGAACTATTTAAGTGACTCCAGGGGTGGGATCTGGACGTGCATTGTACAAACCTTTTTTATGAGCATGTGTTTGGGTTCCTGTGCAAAAATCCGTGTGCAAATGTAAAAGTTCGTGTTTGGATTTTAACTTCATACCGAGCTCTGTCCAGTTTTTATTTTGGTTTTTTTTGTTTTGTTTTGATTTTTTTTTTTGTCTCAATAAAATTTTAGATTTATAATCCTGATTTTTAATTTTTTTAAAAAAATTTTTTTTTACTCTTTTTTTAATCTTTTCTTTACCTTGCTCCCTTTCCTCCAGTGATGAGTGACCAGGTAGAGCAGGACACGGAGGGAAGGTGAGCCCTGAGCCAGGTTAGAGCTCTGGAGAAGGTGGCAGCAGGTTCTGGAGCAGGTTCTGGGTTTGTTTTGGCCTCCAGCTGCAGAAGAGAGGCTCAGCCAGAGCCCTGAGCCTGCACTGGGAGCGTGGAGGGAGCTCCCAGCACCTGAGGTGGGTAAGTGACCTCTGGTTCCCTTCTCGCGCAGTGCTGGGGGGCTCGGAAGGGGCTCTGAGGGGAGAGGTGTGGGGAGGGGGCATGGAGCTGGCTCCTGTGCCTGCAGGGGAGGGGGCCTGGGGGAGGAGGAAGGCTCGAGGAGGAGGAGGATGGTGGTTCCTGGAGGAGGAGGAGGAGGAGGAAGGCTCTTGAAGGAGGAGGAAGGCGGTTCCTGGAGGAGGAGGAGGAGGAAGGCTCGAGAAGGAGGAGGATGGTGGTTCCTGGAGGAGGAAGGTTATTGGAGGAGGAGGAGGAGGAAGGTTCTTGGAGGAGGAGGATGATGGTTCCTGGAGGAGGAAGATGGCGGTTCCTGCAGGATGAGGAGGGGAATGGTTCTTGGATGAGGATAATGGCTCCTGGAGGAGGAGGAGGGGTCTCGGAGGATGATGATGGCTCTTGGATGAGGATGGTGGTTCCTGGAGGAAGACGAATGTTCTTGGAGAAGGATGGTTCTGGAGGAGGATGATGGATCCTGGAGGAGGAAGATGGCTCCTGGAGGAGGTTGAGGGCTCTCAGAGAAAGATGATGATTCCTGGAGGAAGATGATGGTTTTTGGAGGAAGAGGATGGCTCCTGGAGGAGGACAGAAGCTGGAGGGTGGCTCCCAGGAGGAGCAGTGGATCCCTTCCCCAGGAGCTGCCTGCACCACCGCAGGGAATCCTTGTGGGATTTGCAGCAGCTGGGATCCCCCCAACCCTCAGGAATGTCTGCAATCAGCAGCCAGGAGAGCGGGGAGCACCCTGGAGCCAGGGAGGAGCTGATGTGGATTTTTGTTTTACTCCTTCTCCTTTTCCTATTTCTTCTTCTCCTTCTTCTCCTTCTTCTCCATCCCCTGCAGGGCTGGAACAGCTCCCTCCCTCCAGGCTGGATCTGGAGCTGCTGTGATGGCAGAAAATCCCCAAATTCCCACCATTTCACCCCCAAACCCCCTCAAATCCCAAATAAAAGCCCTGGAGCCGAGGCTGGTACAGTGAATAAGCCATTTTTATTTTTTTGTCCTGTGCTCACAACAATCTCTCTTCTCTCCCTGACAGGTCACAGATCATTCAAATCAAAAAAAGTTTCTAAGAGGAAACAAAAAAAAATAATTTAAAACACACGCACAGGGCTCTCTCCATTCCAACCTCCCCACATCCCAACTTGTGCTTCATTCCCAGGAAGCCGGAGGGGGCTTGAGGCTCCCGTCCGGCCAATCCCAGCTCCAAGCATTCCCAAAAAAACCTGGAAAACATTCCCACAAACCCACACACATCTTGCCAGCGGGCCTTCCCTGCTGCTTTCCCAGGTGGAAGGACCACCCTGGAATCCTCCTCGGATCCCGTGCACAGGACTGGCTCGGAAAAGCCGTTATTTTCATTTTCTTTGATTTTTTTGAGCTTTTTTTTTCCTTTTTTTTTTTTTTTTTTTCATTTCTATTTTTTTTTTCTGGTTGCTGGTAAAGTCAGAACACTCCCAGCTGTGCTATATGGAAATACAGCTCTAGGATGGTCTCCGAGGTGTGGAGACCTGACAGTGATCAAGGCACTACCCCCACCCCCCTCCTGAAAAACAAAGGAAGTCAGACCGACACCTCTAGGGACAGAAGAGAATCCTATAATGTGATCACACGGTTACACGGAATCTTTATGGCAAAGAGAACATTGAGCAGCTTTGAACGTTTGGGCTTCTCCCTTTTTTTTTTTTTGGCTTTTTTTTCTTTTTTTTTTTTTGTAATTTTTTTAGGTTTTTTTTGTTTGTTTGTTTTTTACTCAACACAAGCACTTCTAGACCCTAAAAGGGGGAGGAAAAAAATCAAGGCTGGAACCCCCAGCAAACCCAAGCGTGGTTACAGGACGGGAACCTACAGCTGTTCAATGCTCGAGGTGACACCCCAAGGCTGGGCTTGAGGTTGGCATCGGGGTCCCAGCGCTCCCCTTGTGCTGTTCCTGACCCAAAATTCCTTCCCAGGAGAAGCAGGCGGGGGCCGAGTGCTCGGGAAAGGCTCCAGCTGCTCCTCCCTCCCTTCCTCACCCCAAAGCTCTGCGTGGATCCCCCTCCTTGGCCTTTCTCCCAGGATGGGCTTCTTGCCCTTTGCCCTGGCTCTGAGCTTCCTCAGGCAGGAAAGGGTTAACGGGAGTCGCCCCCTGGCTCCGCTCTTCCTCGGGCTGGAAAGGGTTAATGGAAGTCACGCCACTTTTTGTGTCTCTCCACGTGTGCCCTGGTCTGATCTCCCATCGAGGAAGGAGAAATCTGGAATATCTCACACACACCGATGGCAAAAACGGGGTCGGGATGAAAGGAAAAAAGGAAAAAAACCCAAAAAGAACCAAAAAAAAAAGGGAAAAAAAAGAAGAAAAACAACCAGCTACCTGAAATCACAGAACTTTGGAAGTTCAGAAAAACGTCTCTCCTATAACTTGGTTTGAAGTCCATTCACTTAAATCTCTTTTTTTTTTTCTTGTTTTTTGTTTTTTTCTCTTACTAGTAGTTTTTTTTTTTTTGGGGGTTTTTTTTTTTTTTTTTTTTTTTTTTTTTTTTGTTTTATCCACCTCGTGCCAACCTCCCCAGCAGCGATGCCAGCTCGTCCCTGCTCTCCCAGCACCCCGGGGGTGGCCGGTGGCAGCTGGGCTTGGGCTGGGCTCCGTCCCCCGCTTCGGGACGGCCGCTCCCGCAGAGTCCCCGGCGCGCGCCGCCGGCGCCGCGTGCGGTTCCAGAAGACAGAATCGGATAAGAAGGCATCAAAGTTCCCTCCGCAAGCACTTCCAGGCTCGGCCCTCATCCCAGCTCTCCCTTCCGCCGCCGCCTTCACTTCCTCCTGTCCTTCTGCTTGCGCTCCTGGCGCCGCGGCTGCGGCTCGGCGGGCGCGGGCGCGCGCGGGATCAGCAGCACGCTGCCGTCGCTGCCGTACTGCAGCGCGTACCGGCTGGGCGAGTAGGGCCGGCCCTGCTCGTCCCGCAGCCGCCCGAACACCTCCTGGTACAGGCTCTGCACCTTCTGCTTCATCTGCCGGATGGATTTGAGGAACTCCACCTTCTCCCTGAGCAGTTTGGACTTGTCGCGCTGCAGCTCCTCCACGTCGCGCTCCAGGTTGAGGATGGTGTCCAGTTTCCTCTTGCGGCAGTTCTGGGCGGCCATCTTGTTCTTGCCGCGCCGGCGGATGTCGCGGATGAGGCTGAGCTGGGCCTCGCTCAGCTGGTACTTGGACAGGAGCTCGTTGAACTCCTCCACGGGCAGGTTGATGATCTTGTCGTTGGTGAAGGGGATCTTCATGGCCCTGGCGCGGTGCTCGTCGCGGCTCAGCTGCTTGTCCAGCAGCTCGGACGGTTTCTCCTTGCCGCTCTTCTTGCCGGCGCCGGGCGCTTTGGGCTCCTCGGGGTCCAGGGCGCCCGGGGCCATGTTGTAGGTGTGGTTGTGGCCGACGTGCTCCAGGTAAGGCAGGTAGTGGAGCTGCGCCGGGTCCTGGTAGCTCATGCGGCAGAACTTGCTGTACTCTGGCTGGTAGCCAACCGCCCCTTCCGCTTCCTCAAAGTCCACGTTCTCCGAGTCCGAGCTGTAGCCCACGGCGCCTTCCTCGGAAAACGAGGAGGAGGAGGAGGATGAAGAGGAAGAGGACGATGAGGACGAGGCTTCGGAGCTGCTCAGGGACGCGGGGCTGTGGCCGGAATCCAGGGAAAGACCTGAGTCGGAATCGAACTCCTCTTCCAGCTGCGAGGCCTGCACGGGGTTGAAGCCCTCCTCGATGGCCAAGTCCATCAGGCTGATCTCATCCAGCATGGCCTCGTCCAGCAGCCCTCCCAGGGGGTCGGGCAGCTCGGGCCCGGCCGTCTCGTTACCCGTGCTGTTCATCTGGGGCGGGAAGAAGATCCCGCTCAGGTTGGTGGAGCCGAAGGTGCTGTTGAGGCCGGTGGAGTTGTCGGGCGCCAGCTGCAGCAGGGCCGAGCCGCCCGCCATGGAGGGGCTCTCGATGTCCGAGCTGAAGAGGGAGAAGTCCTGGGAGCAGCTGCCCAGCGAGGCCTGATGCAGGCTGACGTTCTGGTTGATGGGCGTGCCGGGGGCCAGGCTGTAGTTGGACGCCAGGAGGTCCCCGCCGGTGCCACCGTAGAGGCTCTCGGCGCTCGTGCTCGTGTTCACCTCCATGGCCTGCAAGAGAGGCGGGCACAGCTCGCTGGGCAGCCCCGGTGCCAAGGACGCTTCCAGATCCCACTCAGGAGCTCGCAGATGGCACGGGGACGGCGCGGTGTCACCGCACGGGCCAGGACCCAAATTCACACCACCACACCTGGAGGGATGAGCCCTTCCCGCCCCTCCCGGAGCTCACCTGCATCTCCATGATGGACATCAGGTCCTGCCACTGCTGCTCCAGGTCGAAGGGCGACTCGGTCTCGGCCAGCAGAGGGGACAGCAGGCTGGGGGGGCCACCCGGGGCCCGGCTCTGCCCGGGCACGGCTTCGCTCAGGGCGGAGACATCCGCAGCTGGGAACTGAGCACGCCAGGGAATCAGGGCTGGCACCTCGGGGACGCTCAGGGATGCTCGGGGATCAGCAGGGACACTTGGGACGGACACTCAGGGATGCTCAGGGACACTCAGGGATGGACACTCAGACATCCGCAGCTGGGAACTGAGCACGCCAGGGAATCAGGGCTGGCACCTCGGGGACGCTCAGGGATGTTCAGGGATGCTCGGGGATCAGCAGGGACACTCGGGGACACTCAAGGATGGACACTCAGGGATGGACACTCAGGGATGCTCAGGGATGCTCAGGGAAGGATGCTCAGTGACGGATGCTCAGGGATGCAGCCACCCCCCAGCCCAGCGCCCCTCCCGCCCACTTTGCCATGAACTAACGAGGAGCAAAGCCAGGAGGTTTTAATTAACCTCTGCCCCCCCTCCCCGCGTGGTTTCTCAGGGTGCCCGGAGCCTCCTGGAGCAGCCAAACCCAATTTGCTGCTGCAGGAGAAGCACAGGAGGCACAAAAACCCCGGCGAGAGCCTGGGGATCCACCCCACGGGCTCACCTCGGAATTGTCCCCGAAGGGGAAGGTGGCCTCCAGCAGCCTAAGGCACTCCTCCAGGGACAGGGCTGTCTGATCCTCCGCTCCGGGCACCTGGGGGCACAGCAAACACACGGGATGGGAGCTGCGGGCGTGGGGAGCTGCTGCTCAGGAGGAACCAGCTCCCTTCCAGCAGGGCTGGATCACAGCGCATCCGAAAAAGAGCCAGAGCCCCACCCAGTGCTCCTGTGCTGGCTCCATCCTCCCGCTCCGGGCTACGGGAAAGCGCCAGCGCCGCCGCTCCCGGCAGCCTGCTGTCCCCTGCTGTCCCCTGCTGTCCCCTCCGGCCACACGGGCCAGGGGGACTCTGCGGCTGCCCCCGGGGACACGGCCGGCCCTGCCCAAATCCTGCTGCCCACCTGGGCAAACCCTGCTGCTGCTGCTGCTGGAGCAGCCCCCGCGCAGGCACCGGCACAGCCGCAGGCCCGGGAGCGCAGCCCCCAGCCCGGGGCGTTACCTGCGCAGGGAAACTCTCCCCGGTCTCTCCATCAACTAGCGGGATTCTATCCAAGACCTCATTCCCTGCACTCCTCCAGCTGTCCCCGCGCTCCCTCCCATCGCTCAGCTCTTTGTCCACTTCGCTCTCTTTCTGACGGTGGCTGTAGTCAAAAATCTCTCGCCCAGCGCCGAGATCAATATCCTGTCTCCACAGGATGTCAATCAAATCGATGTCCTGCAAGACAGACCACATTTCCTTCAGCCCCCTGGCCTGGGGGGGGTCCCCACCCAGCGGCCCCTCCCCGGGGACCCCCCGCCCGGCCGCGGCGGCCGCCAAGCCCCGCCCTCTCCGCCAGACCACGCCCCCTCCCCGCCGGGATGCGGCGCTCCCGGGCTACGCCCTCTCCGCCGATGGCCCCGCCCCGCCCCGGGCGGTGGCCACGACCAATCAGCGCCAATGGGGGCCGCCGCCCTGACCAATCAGCGCCGGCGGGGGCAGCCGGCTCAGCCAATCAACGCCCGCGCGGCGCCCACCGGGCCGCGCCCCCGCCCTGGCGCAGCGGGGCCGCCCCCCCTCCCCCCGGCCCCGCCCGCACCGCACCGGGAATGGGGAATGGGGGCGGGGAACACCGGGACCCCCGGGCCGCCAGCCGGCACAGCCCGGGGTCACCTTGGCCCCGTCCCCCGGGACACCCCGGCCCGGAGTGCGCGACCCCCGCTGAGCCCCCTGCCCTCCTCCCGCCCGTGCTCCTCGCCCCGGGCACGCCCCGGGCCCGGTAACCGCGGCCAAGTGTAAGGAGATCCCCGGGCCGGGGGGGCCGGCGCTGAGCCCCCGCAGCTCATCACATGCCCCACGTATTTTTATCCTCGTGTTGTGGAAACGGCCCCGGGCACGGAGCCTCCGCCGCCCTCCCCACCCCCAATGCTGCAGAGGGAAGCGCTGGGATTTAATCCCAGCTTTGTCTTTAGCCCCGGCTCAAAATGGGCATTTTTTTATCCGTGGGATAAAAATCAAGTGGATTTCATAATTCCCCTCCCGCCCCGCCCGCTCTCCGGGTGCTGCAACGCCCAAAAAGGAAAGGAAAAAAAAAAAATCCCGCACAGCATTCCCGGAGCGAGTTCCAGCTTCCCAAAATTATTTATATCGCCCGTATTCCCCCGGCAAGGTCGCGCCTGGACCGCGCACAACCCACCGGGAGTCGCAATGTGCCAGGAAAAGTCATGGAAAAATTTCCAGGCCGGCCCCCGGAGCCATCTGCAGCTCCGTCCCCGCCCGGCCCGCGGGGAGAGCCCCGCGGGGCTCCCGCGGCATTCCCGGGGGGAAATCCGCGACCTCCGGGGAGTCGGGGCGAAAAATCGCACCCTAAAACAACCCCAAAATGAAAATGCGGGAGCGGCGAGCTGCGGGGGGAGGAGAGCGGCGGGATGGGGCGAGGGAGAGCCGCGGGAGCCAGACGGGATTTCCTGGAGCCACGGCGGCCTCGGCTCCGGGGAAGCGGGGAAAAAACAGCCCTGGAGGGAGAGGGATGCAGGAAAATCCGGGATCGGGGGGGAATCATGGAAAACAGCCCTGGAGGGAGGGGGATGCAGGAAAATCCGGGATCGGGGGGGAATTAAGGAGAACAGCCCTGGAGGGAGAGGGATGGAGGAAAAGCCGGGATCGGGGGGAATCATGGAAAACAGAGCCCTGAGAGTGACAGGGATGGAGGAAAAGCCGGGATCGGGGGAATTAAGGAGAACAGCCCCGAGAAGGGCCGGGACTGGGCAGGTGGGGCTGCAGATCTCCCCCAGCCGCCCCTCCCTGATTCCAGCCGGGCTCCACTCCCGGCACAGCCAGGCCCGGGGAGGCCTCTGGAAAACGGCGGCTCCCGGCCTCTTTCCCCCAGAATTCCCAAAATCTGAGCCCGGTTTCCCTGCCGAAAGCTCCTCAGAGCCAGCAATCCCAGACTCGGGAAGGGCGGCGGAGCCTTCCAGGAGTGACCTTGCACAAGGAAGCACCCACCCGATCCCACCCCGAGGCTGGGAATCCGGGAATCGCCTCCCTGGGAATCCCTAGGACCAGCAGAGGCGGGACCTTCGGCCTCGTGTCCCTCTGGCACCTCCAAGGTCGAGCTGCCAGCCCAGAGCGGGGCTTTCCCCCGGGAACAGGCAGGGAAATCGGGATGACACTCCCAGGGCCTGCTCCATCAGCTCTGTCTCTGCGGCGATCACAGCACTCCCCGCAGCCTGACCCCGATCCTGATCCCAATCCAATCCCAATCCTGATCCCCATCCCGATCCTGATCTCAGTCCTGATCCCCATCCCGATCCTGACCCCAGTCCTGACCCCAGTCCTGATCCTGATCCCAATCCAATCCCAGTCCTGATCCCCATCCTGATCCTGATTCCGATCCCAATCCCAATCCTGATCCCGACCCCAATCCTGACCCCAATCCCAATCCCTGCTGCAGCACATGCCAGCGGCTCCCGGTGTCCTGCAGGACCTGGGCACACGGATCAGCACTGACACCCCATTCCCTGACCCTGGAAGGACCTGAGGCTGGGAATTACCACTGACACCCCCATTCCATAGACCTGGAAGCACCCGAGGCCATGGATCAGCCCCACGGAACCCAGGATGTGCCACAGGCACAGCAGCAGCTCCCAGGGCCTGGAATGGCATCCCAGCCTGCCCAAAGGTCCTGGCCCAAGCAGGAAAACCAAACCCCTCCCAGCCCTGCTCTGCCCAGCCGGCTGGGAAGGAAAACTGAGCCAGGAAAGGAATTCTGGGCAGGAAAACTGAGTGAGGAACTGAATTCTGGGGAAGAAAATTGAGTGAGGAGCAGGCTCCTGGGGAGGGACACTGAGTGAGGAGCAGGCTCCTGGCCGGGCTCCAGCCCAGCAGCCCAACCACCTGCTCCACACCTGGGCCAGGGCTCTTTCCCAACACCCCTGTTTATTTCCCAGCCGGATTGCTGGCTTTCCCAATCCCCAGAGTCACGAGGGCCCCAGCTCCTTCCCCCTCCTTTCACTGCTCCTCTGGAGCCAGAAGAGAGCAGACCAAAAGGGAAAACCAGCCCGGAATCATCCCGGGAGCGCCGAAACCCAGCCCCGCTCCGGGATTGCGCCATCCCCGAGCGCCAAACGCGGCGACGCCCCAACCCCTCGCTCGGAACACCCCAAACCCCCTCTTTCCTACCTCCTTGGTGAGATCCCCGTTGACAGGCGCCGCCACGGCTCCCAAATCCTCCAGCTCTTCCCCAAAGCCCTGCTCGGCTCCGCTCTCCCTCTCGCCGCCGGCGCCGCCGTCCTGCAGGCCGCCGGCGGCGCCGGGCTGCGCGCCCTCGGCGTCGCGGTGCACCAGCCAGGCGCTGAGCTCGGTGCTGGGCACGCGCAGCCGGTCCAGGGCGCGCACCTGGCTCAGCAGGCGGCGGGCGCTGAAGTAGGAGTCCAGCTCGACGCTCTTGGGGTGGATGCCATAGCCGCCCAAGGTGCTGCGCAGGTGGTGGAACTGGGTCTGCGTGTAGGCCGAGCTCTGGCCCAGGATGATCTCCCGCAGCGGCGGCAGCTGCGAGCTCAGGTAGCTGTCCACGTCCACGCGCACGCCGATCAGGCTCAGCAGGATGGTGAACTGGATCAGGCCTTCCGTGAAGTACTTCTTCAGGGAGAGCATCTCTGCGGCAGGGAGAGACGGGAAAGTTTGAAAAATGAAGGAGGGAAAAGAAGGGGTGAGGGTGGGGGTGGACAGAGAGGAGATGCAGGGGGAAATTAAAAAACAAATGAAGATAAACAAGGATTGAGGGTGGGGATGGACAGCCAGGAGCTGGCAGAGGGAAATTTAAAAAAAAAGAGAAGAAATGCAAGGATTGAGGGTGGGGATGGACAGCAAGAAGCTGGCAGAGAGAAAATTTAAAAAAAGAAGGAAAATAAGGATTGAGGGTGGGGATGGACAGCGAGGAGCTGCAGGGGGAAAAATTAAAAAAAAAAAAAGAAGGAAAATAAGGATTGAGGGTGGGGATGGACAACAAGAAGCTGGCAGAGGGAAAATTAAAAAAAGTGAAGAAAAATAAGGATTGAGGGTGGGGATGGACAACAAGGAGCTAGAGGGGCAAAAAATTTAAAAACAAATTAAGAAAAGCAAGGATTGAGGTTGAAGATGGACAGTGAGGAGCTGGCAGGGGGAAAAATTAAAAAAGAAATGTTGATAAACAAGGATTGAGGCTGGGGATGGACAGGCAGGAGCTGGCAGGGGGTGAAGCCTCCACACAACAGGTTGAGTGGGTTTGGCTCTGCTCTGCCCCACTTTCAAACAATCGTTTCTGCCCTTGGGGACAGAGCTAAAGCCAGCAGAAAAGTTTAAAGAACGCTCGAAAGGTTGTTAGTTCAACGAGGCTTGGTTTTCCTCTGAAAAGTCAGGAAATCGGCGCGTGGAGAAGTGGAGAAAATCAAAGTTTCAGCCCGGGAACTCTCCCCGCAGCTCCACCCTCGCCTTCCCTTTTGTTTTTATCCCGCAGAGCACGCGGAATTCCGGGCTCCGTGTGACTTACTGTCCCAGCTCTCCTCGTGCAGCGCCTCCGTGTCCCCCGCAGCTCCCTCGGGACCCCGCGGCTCCCCCGGCTCCTCTCGCGCTGCCGACGCTTTTCCCAGGAGCCTTCTATGAGTCAAAGGTCCCGAGCATGGGAAGGTCCAAAGACTCCAACGCTCGCGGCCGCGATTTCATCAGCAGCTGAAATGTAACCAGAGAGCAAACACGGTAACAGCGGGGCACCACCCCGCTCGCACGGCGCCCTCCCCCCGCCAAAACCGGCCAGTTCCGCCGCAATTCCCGGTGTCCCGGCCGAGTTACCTTCGGCGGCAGCGCTGCTTCCCCGGCCCCAGCTATTCTTAGGCCGGTGCGTCAACTTCCCGCTGCCCGCGGGAATCCGGCCGCCCGTCCCCGCTCAGCCCGGCTTCCAGCCGGCCCGGGGCTCTCGCACGAACACCGGGAGCGCTCCCGGGCCCGCCCCGCTCCGCTCCCGCCGCCCCCAGCGCGCCGGGGCGGCTCCCGCGGAGCGGAGCGCTGAGCTGCGGGTGCCCGAGGAGGTTTGGGGGTCCCCGATTTTGGGGGGGGTCCCCGATTTTGGG